CGAAAACTAATGTAGAAAAATCCCCACTACTTAAGTAATCATATTCTACTGAGCGCAGTTTTTTTCAGGCGGTCAGAGATAGATCCATTCAAAGGTGACGTCCTGACTTGACTAAAACATCTTGGGATTATGTTTAACGACAATCCATATTACAACCCCAATAAAGTAACCCTTCCTGATCGAAAACTCATTTCAGGATTTCGGCTAATTTCTCGTGAAATTGGTCACTCACTGTAGGTCAGATTTTCTGTGCTGTGATTTTCTGTCAGCATCCTGTTTACAGATGTCGTACACAGATCACTTAGGGAGGTCTCAGTTTTAGTTCTAGACTTAGCGCTCATTTATCCAAAGATCGATTTTAATTTTTCGTACGTGGCTTTTCTGACTCTTGCCGTCCATTCACAGCCCCCAATCTCCATATCCTGCCCGAAATCTTCTTGCCATCGGAGCGCGAAATTAGTCGCGGCCGGTGCATAGTAAACTTTAGCTCTCGGTGTCACCAGTATCACGAGTGATCAGCCTACACTCGGCTCATCTGTCTGAGTTTTTTTAAATTCGCCCCTAACCCTGTTTCTCTCCCTTTTCTGCATGCGCCCCCTCCTCCCTCCCCAGAGGGTCCCGTCCTGACGAAGCCATCATTCCCAAACCAGGCCTCCGGACTCTATGAGGAGTCTCCGGACTTTGAATTCCAGCCCCCACCACCATCAGACGGTCAACATTCCCACATAGTACGGCAAGTCACTGTGACAGCACCAGTAAAGTGTGAACATCGCCAGTCGGAGTCGCTGGTAAACCGACCTGCCGTTCACACTGGCACTCCGCACGCCTGGCCTTCCACTCTCCAGTCGGAGTCCTCATCCATTTCGACGACGGGGCCGCTGGAGGAGCCGACCCTCGCTGGCTCTGCCTCATCGCCACACTCACGTTCCGAGCTCGACTCTGCCGAGACCAACCGAGACCTGGCACTCTACTCACGACCCTCGCCCGTCACAAACGTTCTTGACGGTCATGTTTGGACCTCGGAACCGGAGGAACGATCAAACAAGGTCTGTTGCCGTCCCCCAGTGGTTCTCATTTCGTGTTTATTTGTTTCACTCTGATCTTACAGTGCATGCGTGACGTTGCATTCGGCGTGGATAGTCGATGTCATTCACATGTGTGCACTCACACCCACTAATTAAGCGCAGTCTGTAGCATTTGCGGTACCATGCTATGCAAGGTGAGGCGTCTCCTCAACACTGATTAGGCCGCAGGTGCTGTTGGCTTACAGCTTCTGAGAGGCAATTAGCTACTAACCGGGTGTTAATACTTATTTGCCTGCCTATAAAATTATCTCCGCTTTGGATATCATGTACTTCAGAAACAGGTACCGCTTCGGAAGATCAACGATTACCAGTGTTAGACAACGTAACTGGGAGTGTGCTTCGTGCTGGAGTGTGAGCATTAAAAGGTGCTCCGATCGACATTTTCTACAACAGTTTTCAATAGGGAGTTAAAAAGTGCATGTGGTACAGTGCCAGATCGTTATTTACTTCAGTTGACCTTTCTTTGGCCTGCTCCCCACTTACGTTTAACCGGTCCCTTGGATTTTAGAATTAAATCAAGTGGTCATCGTACTTCTCCGGCAGGCGGCTATTCAAACCACCTCTTATTCGAAACTTATGCATATAAAAGATGAATCCTGCTTTTGTAAAGCGGTTCGGAATTCAAGTAGACAATTCCATGTTAAATCAGTCCGATCTAAACATGAAACATCTCCCCTGCATACGGGTATCAGTCCTTGCCCGCTTACTAAATATACCTATATTTTTATACCTAGAATCGATACAGGTCCACAAAGCAGCCTCTTTACTGTGGTCTTTTTTCTGTTTGATTTTTTTGAATTTCGTCAAAGTATCTACGATTTTTAATATGACCATCTCGATTTTTCCTGTGTTCAGGAGTGCGTAACACTTTGTCCGTCGCTGATGAGAACCGGGATGGCCCGTCTCCTGTCAAAAGATCAGTGGACCGCACTGAATGACCTTCGCCGTGCCTACGACACCTCCTTTCTTATTAGCGCATCTGATCACACTCCGGAAAACAGTGGCACTCTGACCCTAAGCAGCCTCGTTAACACTTCAGGCTTCCTCGTCCGGAAATTCATTAGTTTTGCCAAGAAACTTGCTGATTTCAACGTCCTTGGACAGGTTAGTTGGTCGCGGTGCTTAATTTTTCTCCTGTCCTGTTCGGGTTCATCGCTTTTTTTCATCCTACCTTTCATAGGAGGGTCAGGTCTGTTTGCTGAAAGGTGTCGTCCTAAACGCCATCTTTATTCGATCTGCCAGCCACTATGATGTTGTACGAGACTGCTGGGTGACGCCAAAGGGCGATATTCCTACGCGCATTCTCAAGGTTGCCACCGGCCTGGAGAACTTATACGAGGAACATGCCAAGTTCTGCAGGTCCGTAGTCCTACCAAACAGCAACATTAATTGCTACTTCATAGGTCGAAGTAGGGTTGATTTATACAATCTCTGTTTTCGCATGCCCGTAAGCTCGGCAGTAATTTTGCGCAAAAGAGCTAGTCCGCTGTTAACTTCTTTTTAAAGCGTTTGCATTTCATGTAGTTAGTATGGTATGCATACCAGCCCACTTGGAAATCCACATATCCACTTTGGCTTTTTAAAATTCTAGGTGACATTATCATCATTTTTAGGAACTTCAGCAACGTGGTCGAAAATGATTCACACTTGGTTGCCTTGATGCAAGTTCTCTGTTTGTTTGCACCTGATCGCCGAAGTCTCGTAGATCGTCAATCAGTGAGTTTTGTCATTTTTAGTACTGTCGTGTGTGACATTGAAAAAGGCAAAATTTCGTCCAACAAATGTCCATGTTCTTCAAGTCATTGGACTAGGAAAGCTTGATGTAAACTTCAGTTAGGAAAATTAAATTCGATCGAAATCAGCAGGATGTTAGATATGAGGTGTGTGTCCAGTTAACAAGCTGTGGAAGAAAAGGTTATTAATCAAAATGCTTGGAAAGTCCAAGAAGACGATAACTGGAGGGGTCACCTGATAGCGCCCATTCTAGTCAGCACTGCAACTTAAGTCTGTGATCATTCGTCACCAGATGTGATTCCACTCCTGTGAGCGAGTCCGCAGGCGTTAGAAGTCCCTTGTTCTATGCCGCGCAAACACTTATGGCCACTTGCGAAGACGCAGCTGCCGTGACACATTTGTTTATTCGACCCCCTTCCCGACAACCATGTGCTCTCGTCGGTGCACACCCCTGACCACAGTGTTCGATTTTAGCTCCGTTGCAGCCGACACGGGCAAATCGACAGATAGTCACCCTTCTAGCCCTTATTAGTTAGGTCTTTGATGGTCTTCGGCATTTATCAAACTATATCTGAGGTACCAAGGGCTCTCCCAGCACCAATTCAGTCGGGAAGTGTGACCGGTGTCTGGTACAAACGATATTTTCACGACTGCAGCCCTTTACTTGGCTTTATATTCCCCTCATTCTTTTCCGCAGACCGTTTTATGTGAGTGGACATTCTTGACTATTCGCTCCTTAGGTTGTTATTTTCCTCCTTAAAATCCTTGGCTGTCAGGCATGACCGTAGACGGCTTCGTAGGGCTACGTGGTAATTGCTCCTTCGACATGGACAGTAGCACATATCAGCCTCTGGGTAATTCCACAGTCGTCCCAAATAAGCTGTGCTCGATTACTCGCCAGTGAATACTGCACCGATGAACGAACGGCAATAAGCAGCACCTAACACTGAACCGGATGACCCTTAGCATGTCCTACGTTGTCAGAGGTCCCTAACAGTCCACCCTTAGTACCTCTGGACTTCAGCCCTACTTAATTTTCCGATACCTTCTTTGGTTTCCTATCCACGGCTTGCAGCATGCTTACCATCCTGATCAATCGACTCTTATCATCCGTTCTCGCCCATAGGTATCAAACATCTACGACAGGTACATTCTTCTGTTGAAACACTACCTGGAGGCAAGACACGGCTTCACCCGCGGACGCACCCTCCTCGCGTCTGTGTTAACCAGTCTGGCAGAGCTTGAGACCCTAACCGATAATTATGGCCACATTTTGTTGCACGTGGACCCCAGCAAAGTGGACCCTCTCATTCTCGACGTCTTTAATCTTTCCCGACGCGCCACCGATCCGCAGTCGGCACTTACGGACCCAACCACATCAACTTCCCCGAAAGATACTGGTGAAGGGACGGTCACGTCAGTCGCGCTGGACAGTGAGGACAAGGACCTAACTCGTCAGCATGCTAGTGGACTCGGAACACCAACCGCGACAGATACCTCCCACTCACCTCTCACACATTCCATGATCGAGGTCTCAAAAAGCTGATTAAACTGTGAAAACAACGGGCCGCCTCCTCACCGCCATTGCTTGTAACCTCGCACTAACTTCGACCCGGATATTTAACTTGCGCCTCATTCTAGAACTAACTTTTTCTCCCACGTGACTTGACCCTTGCGGCGTCTCCTCGTTCTTGCATACGCGTCAACCGTCTTCTATTTTTGCCTCAGTGTAAATATTTTTACTATTTTTTGTGGTTCTCGCCCTAGAGGAATATTCGATTATTCGGAGACTATTTTTTTACACAGGTTGTACAAGCGTGACTGTAAAAATGCCACGGCCCTCCTGTGCGTGTATGATGAGTATAATGTCTGAATGACTTTTTGACCCTTATGCCACTCTCGACTTACATGCGAAATGTTGACTAGAGAGCATCTTATGTAAAATCTGCGAAATGTTGACTAGAGAGCATCTTATGTAAAATCTGCTAAGTCTCTAGCACACAAATAACTATAAGAACTCAATTAAAATATTATTTTTATGCGGCAACAGGCGGGTTCCACAGAAGATGATCGGCTGTTCAGTCAAACAGGAGCAATCAAGAGTGGTTGATAATGGGGGCAAGGGGGAATGTACAAAGACTGCCGCTATTTACACTGTTCGTAAGGCAGCCATAGGTTGGATCACGTGGATTCTTCGTCGTTTATTTTGCATACATCATCCATCGACACGTCCCGCACGAGGCGTCCTCGACAAAGACCCTGAAACAGGAAGGACGAAATGACGGTAAAAAAAAGAGACCGCACTTGCAAGTAGAGCCTCATGCGATACAGGCTGTGTAGGGTGTTTCAAGCCACAACGACTGACAGCTTTTTGTCAAGAAGTCCAGGTGTTCACATACTTGTCTCCCTTGTCTTTGTCGGTAATACCATTCTGCCTATATATCATGCGCCGCTGTGCGGCTGCTGGTTGGGCTCGAGAGAGTCCTTAAGGCACAACGGAACGAGTGAGTTCCGTATGAACGATCGGGGAGCGCCCCCTACCGAGGGATTTTATTGTTAGCATAACCAGGCCGGTTAACTGGTGTTCTGAGGCTAGCTGCAAGTATTCAGTCGCATTTGTGGTGCGCCAGTCATAGAGGAAGTCTCGAGAATAGTGGTTCCTAAAGGAGCGCAGCACAAACAGTATGCACCAGCAGCGGTCGCGCTCTTTTGGAAAAATGCCCAATACCGTCCGAAAGTCCCACGGAAGACATCACCGCGTGGAGTTTTGCCTGCAAGGTTGTAGTTACTATGAGGAACGCATAGGGCTTTCGTTTATACCTACTTCGCGGAAAACTGCCACCACGCTTTTTAAACTTGAGGGAATTCAACATTACAATCTTTCAAAGCTTGCGCCTCTGTTTGCTAATGCTGTGCTTGATTTAGCGGCCGCGAAACACTCATGTCATCCGAGTCTTCGCCACTCTCTATCAGTGTCGTGCATCTTTAGTAATATCACGGCGGGCTGAGTCACTGCGACCTTGGCAGGTCAGGATGGCGCAACAAAAACTTTGCCGGAAACCAAAATTACAACCAGACAAACTCACCGAGTCTATGCATATGTCGACGACGTTCCGATCCTTGTCGATGGCTTTTACAATGGCCACTTCATTACGATAGGCACCATTGACAACGAGGACGTAGTCGCCGAGTGGTGGGATAACAGTCTGGACGTGTTCCTGGTCCACCTTAAGTTTGGTCGTTCCGTTAACGACACGTACCACGGCCTTTGAGCAAAACGCAGTGGGTTATTTTGTGAGTAATAAAAAAACGACACTCAAAACGTTTTAAACGGACATTCGCGAAATGCGTGGGAGTTGTACTATTAGGGACTCATTTTCCAAAATGTAAGTCGTGGCGACTCCGGCAATGGCACGGCAAGAGGAAACAGTAATCTAACGACTGAGGGAGTGTGAATCAAACAGGGAAAACAGAATCCACAGAAGAAATGAAGCAGGCCCGTATAGAAGACGGCCCAAAGGAACCATTGTTCTCGCAGTAAAGTGAGGAGCACGATTGCTCCTAAGCCGAATGCTTATATAATAGATTTACCGGCCTAACTAACCTTGCTCTCACTAGGACGATGGTTTTATTCGATTCTCACTCGAACTCGTCACTAGAGACAGCAACAGATGGGAAGTGCAATTGCCGTGCATGGGTTTGAGTGAGAGTCCGGAACAGAGGGATAAGAGTTTTGCTTCAGTGGCCGCATTTCCTTCCCAACTGCTTACTGGAACTCACAAATTTGCTTATATCGGTAGGTCTGCCCTGACACAACAACATTAGGTGACGTAAGAACCTAACCTGTCAATCGAAATAAGATGAAGAGTTCTTGTCCAGCTTTGACGGCGGCGGCTATCATTAGGTGGATTCGTATGGAGGAACCGTGTTCGTGTGGCAAACGGAGGTATAATGCAGTATAACTACCTCCCCCCTAAAAAAAGTCGGAGCCACCGATCCTAATCTTATGGTGCCGGTTGAGATAGGACGGTTTTCGGGTGGGACGAATAAAATTCCCAAAAAACCTCCAAATAAAAAGTATCGGAAAGTCGCGTGGCAACAAAACGAAGTTCCTACAAAATTATTGACAGAATAGCATTAGAGACAAAGAGGCGTTGGACTTCTAGCCAGCAGGTGGCGGGTATTCCACGTTTCTGAGTTGGGCATGACTGGCTGACGACGCCTAACAAGCCTGAAATGGCCATTCCAGTCTCCCTTGTCTTTGTGGGTAATTATATTCTGTCTATATCGTACACCACTTCGCGGCTGCTGATTGGGTTCGAGAGAGAGAGCCCCAAGGCAGAACGGGACAAGTGAGCTCCATAAAAACGGTCGGCAGGCGCCCCTCTACCAAATTACTGACAGACGGCTGGTTCAATAATACGCGAAAACAGACTGTAAAATCGATGAAGACCATAAACCAATGGATAATGTCTGCGAAAGTCGTGATTATACAGAATAGGAGCGGGTAAATGTAGGGGACTGAACATACATAGATAAATAAGATGTACGGTCGTATAAAATAGGCAACAAAAAGTGTATAACAACCCTAAACAATCCGAATTTCCAAATCAGTTATGTTCAACCGAAATAAAGCTCAGATCCAATTGCGGCATGTGTCATAGTCGTTATATGCAATCGAATGCCCAAAATGAGCTAAGCAAGCCGTGTTATTAATAACTGTTTAAAGGGTTAGTTAATTGAGACTGATTTGACGCTCAAAAAGGCATCCAACATAATCTCAACATGGTTTTTTGATGGGGCCGAATGCGGCAATTTTCCTTTAACATATGACTAGGACCCGGCAGTGTGTCATGCGAGGTGCGATCCCAACTTCGATTTAAAAAGTAAACGTTTACGTAGATGACAATGAGGAATTTCGTCAGCAGTATCTCAACGAAGAGTCTATGAGGATGCTATTTTCGCGTCCATTGATAATTTATGTATCCTAAACTACCTTGCACATCTCTAGTGGCAGCTCTGCAAAATGTTCTCACACAGCAATCTGAATTAGCCAGTGAAAATAAATAGCAGCAATTCCACCGTAAATTATAGGGGGGCAGTTACACTACACTTCAAACATGGCAAGTTCCCGCAGGTTCCGCCGTTTAAACAGTTAAATAAATATCTTTGCTTTAGTTTCAAGCGAAGAAGTTCACCCGAATAAACTTAAATGAACTCTTTACAACGCATGGCCGCCTTAGGAACGTTAAATAGGTTAGGGTCATTTCATTGTATTCTCAACAGAAGAATTCAAAGACTAAACCGGTGTTTTATTAATTCCCTGCGTGATTCAGCTGGATGTCTTCCGCGTGGGATCTAGTAGTGCATCAACTATCAAATTGGAGTCCATAATTTTGCCTGAAATCACTGTACGAACTGGCAGTGGTGTTTGAGACGCAGGTGCTTTTAGGCTCGGCCTGGAGTCCACCCACATTCCGCAACTAAAATCTAGACAGGGGTGTGGGGTGCTTCCGGAAACGATGCGTGGAATGCGTATCGTGCGATCCCAATTAGCAGGAGGGGGGACAACTTGCGCGAAAACAGCATGTAAAATTGCAACACCCACCGTGTAGTTGTCCTCCATGTCCAGCACGACCGCCCTACGATAGAGAAGTTCCTGAGGGAGCTTTCGGTTAATCAACTTAACGACGATACCGGTGGTCAGCCAGTAGGCCTTCCTGTTCATGCGCTCCTTTGCGCGCTCTTCTTCGGCAAGGATCTCGTCCAGCACATTCCTCCGAGCAGGCCCGGCAGGCGCCTTCGTGGAGGTGGAGGAAGCAGCAGCAGAGGATCGTTGGGCGGAAGAGTGACTGTCATGTTGTTGTGCCTCCGCCTTCATTTTTGCCTTTTTCTCCGCGAGAAGTAGCGGATTCTGGATGGGGTAAGGTAGACATTTAAAAAAACCTGAATTTCTACGGAAAGCTCTTCAAGACTCAACCAGTGGAGATTTACAAGCGCGAAGATGGTGAGCACTGAACAAACCAGTCCCTCGCTCTGGAGCAGCATTTACAAGACATGGTTAAGTGTAAGAAAAAAATACGCGCGTCCTGTTTGGTCTTGGGACTCAAGTCCAGGGACTTCAGGACGTTCGAAGATCGCAGAGTAACTAGCGCTCGAAGCAGACTAATCGAGATCACAAGACTGCAGAGTCAACTGCCGACTTACAGTTCTCAACCAGTCTTACCCACACCAGAGCAGCAGATTTTGACTCGAGTGCAGCCCATCATTGACCACAACGCCCTGCGAGTTGAACCACGAACCAAAAGGCGAGGCGGGGCGCATGTGCCCGTTCCTGAAACCGAGTCAGACTGATAGACACCACCGCAACATTTTCTTTTAAAACTCTCGTTCACGGCCTCTAGTGTCAATGACTAAGCGAGTCTCACTAAAACTCAGACAATCTTGGACTGGGGTCGTCTATGACGACAAACAAGCCATAAATTGTCATCCCAGCATCCGTTGTTTTCGTCGAAGAAAGTCCATGACTCTACGCGTCTGAATTAAAATCCAAAATAATATAACCAATCGAAAGTTCGGAGAAGGGCCCCTACTTATAAAGAGGGAAATGAAGGGTTTCTTCTCGCGGAGTCGCATGCGTCTAAAACAAGTTGTGTATTACCAAGCAAGAGGTATTGCGTAGTCGCAAGGGCTACGTAGGGGCTGCATAACATCCTTCGTAAGTGTCAGGGTCTAAAAGTGGCTACAGCCAAGTGAAACAAGTCAGCAATGGAACGTACCTGAGGCTTAGGGATAGGTGGTTTCGCGGAAGAGACTGGAGGTGGGCTCTTTTCAGTGGCATGTGAAGAGACCGAGGCACTGTCGGACGAACTGCTACTGGCAGCCGCCTCTGCGGGCTGTTCCTCTTTCTTGGCCCTCTTAGGTGCCAGACATAGATCCAGCCGGATCTTGTGGTCCTCATCTTCGCTGCGTTTGAGAGGCTGCACAACTCTCCGCTCCTCCGAGTGCTCTCTATTCTCCTTCTTTTCCTTCATGCTTTCGATCTGTTTTTCTGTAAGCAGTGGACACTATATAAAGCGAAGCACACCTACGTAAGAATTGTCTATTGATGTCGTCCTCCGTCTTCTCTAATCTGGCTTCACTCGCCTTCCGTTGCTCCTTCTCGGGGTCCCGATCAATGTACTCAATGTACCAACCCTTTTCAGTCTCGTCAACACGACAAATGCCCTGTTTACCCAACCACAGACACAGTCCTGTCAGCGAGTGCCAACGAGTGGCGTTCATGTGTATGTGTTGTTTGTCCTTGATGTACTCCTGGTAGACGACATTGGCATGGACACGTTTGCCACCAAATTGTCTGCGAACAATGTCCAGGTAGCCCTTGAGGAACTCGGAAGAGAAACTGCTGATAAATTTCCCGCCATTTTCCATGAAAATTTTCATCTGTCGGTGATGAGCCTCAGACGCGGTATGGCATTTATAGCCATTCTAGAAAGGTATGCACG